TTCTTTATTCTGTATTTTATGACTCTCCTCTCTTCATTCTCTTTCTACATATCTGACTCCTCCTTAATTTCCTATGTTGAGTCATCATCAATATCCTGCCCACTAAGTAAGTGTGTTCTCTAAGGCTCTATCTGGGGTCCTCTTCTCTTTGCTTTTTCTGCTCTCTAAACTGGTGACCATATCATCTTCTCATGGGTTCAGTATTCAAGTATACAGACCTAATCTGTCTTTTGGGCTCCTGTCCCACATCACCAACTATTGAAAGTTTCAAATTGGATATTCCACAGACATCTTAAATTCAGTATTTCTAAAAGAGAATCCTTTAGCTATATCCCCAAAACCCACCCCTCTTTCCCATTACTGTAAAAAAAATCACCATCCTCCTCAAAACTTCAGTGTCATCCTAATTCACTCACTCATCCCACATGTATAATCATTTGCCAGAGGCTATTATTTCTATCACTATAGTAGCTTTCATATGTATCCCCTTTACTCCACTCAAGCATTCATTACCCTCCTTGAAGCTTTCATCCCCTCTCTCTTAGACTATTGCAGTAGCCTTCCAATTGGTCTCCCTCAAGTAGCTCCCTAATCCAAACTCTTCTTAAAACATAGATCTAATCATGCCACTATTTTCACAAGAACAAATCCCAAAATCTGAAATGGTTTTAGAAAGACATATATTAGGTTGCTTGGTAGAGAAAGAGCCAGAAAGAAGAGATGGTTCCCCTCACAAGTCTTTATGAGATTACATTATGTAGAGTTCAAACAAAGGTATATGGACATTTGTCTGATTGATCTCATGTAAGTAGTAGGTAGTCTCCAAGAGAAAGGCAGATTGAGATGTATGTCAGCAAGTAAATCAATCTATTCTGGGGAACCCAAAACACAACTTTTGGGTAGACTCAAAATAAGACCTTCAGGAACCCAAAACAAGTACTGAGTGGAATCTAAATATTCCTTACAACCAACCAGTTTCCTTGGAGCATCTCTGAGGTCAGTCTGACCTCTCAGTAAGGTTTAGAGTAATATAATTTTTTAGCCACATTAAAAAAAAATTTTTAAAGGTTCAAAGCTAGGTTCAAACAGTATTAAAAATGATAAATAATCCACACCACCCTCTTTTTTAGAAAGCCCCAGCACTTCCCCATTACCTCAATAATCAAATAAAAACTCCTCTAATTGTTATTTAAAACTCTATATAACCTGTCTCTAGCCTACCTTCTAGACTTCTTAAATACCACTCTCTTATGTACTCTTTGTAATCTAGTCCAGGGCTTCTGAAACTTTTTCCACTCATGATCCACAGTTTAAGAAGGACTAGTTAGTCACACTGGCCTGTCTGTTGTACTCCACATGTACAAAATCCCATCTCCCATCTCTTTTGCACTGGTTGTCCCCTCATATGCTGTCCCTCATTATCTCAGCCTCTTAGAATCCCTGGTTTCCTTCAAGACTCAACTTAAATACTTCCTTTTATGTGAGACCTTTCCTGATCCCCCCCCTCAGCTCTTGTGACTTCTCCTCCAAGATAACATTGTGTCTGCTCTATAGATATTTGGCATATACCTATGTTTGTATTTTATATGTACCAATATATGTATATTTTGTCTCCCCCATTAGGATGTAGGTTCTTTAAGGAAAGGGACTGCTTCACTTTTTTCTTTGTATTTCTAGCATTTAGTCGAGTGCTGGGTACCTAGTAGGTGCGTAATAAATGTTTGCTTGTTTCATTGAGCAATTGCTCGCAGGGACAGTTTTTGTTTTTATCTTTGAATGCCCAGCGTCTAGAACCATGTCTTGTACATAGTAGGATCTTAATGAATATTTGTCAATTTAAACTGAATCTCATTGGATCCTTACAACCACACAAATTGGGGTAGTAGTTATGACTATTGTGCAGTATCATACAGTGTAGAAGAAGCAGCCTCAAACAGATCTTCTGGCTTCAAGTCCAATAGTCTCTCTGCTGTGCCACACTGACTCTCAATTAGATGACATTTAAGGAAGGACATGTTGAAAAGTACAAGTCATCATCATAAGTCTCCTTTCACAGACTTGCACACCTTTTCCAGATCATCGTATCTTTATTGTTGGAAAGAATTCACCAAGGCTAAGGGAGATTAGGAAAATTTGTCAGTCCTTAATTGTTGAATGGTTTTTGGCCAGTCTCCAAAGAACACTGTCATTAATAAAAAGACAATGTTTATGACTGCTTTGGGGGCACTAAAGAGACAAGCATAAAGATTAAGATGAAATAAGTGAAAGTTACCTATACATCTGAAATCTACAAAGTAATTGCCCCATTATCTGCTTTCAAGGCAACAAGTCATGAGTTTTTGGAAGTAATGGTTGGTATGCATTAGAATATTGAAACGCAGAGTAGAGTGTGGTTAAAGTTGGGGAGGAGAAAAAGTATGATCAAAATTGAGTATTCCAATTGAAAGAGAGCCAAGATGAAACAGTGGGATTGGTCTCTGACCACCTGTTTATACAACCACCTTCAAACCAAACAAATAAAAATTTTAGCCATTACTATGCTGAGCAAGTGTCCTTCAACTTCATAGAAAATCATACTTTTTCTAGTTCTTAAAAAGTCCTATAGAAATGTGGAGGTATGCATAGTATACTCTAGTATACTATGGTTACTAGAAAAAAATATTGCCGTTGGAGATATAAAATCAGGTTTTCACTTGGCCTCAGTTTCCTTTTCTGTAAAATAAGAGGTTGAACTAAAGGGACTCCAGTACATTCCACTTCTGAAACCCTATGATCTTCAAATAAAACATTAGAGCTTCCTTCAAGTCTTTGATAAAATCCCACCTTCTACAATAAGCCTTTCCAGATCTCCCTAAATGGTAGTGCTTTCTCTCTGGTGATCATCTCCAGTTTATCCTGTATATGGTTTCTTTGAACATAGCTATTCATGTGTTATCTCCTCTTATTAGACTGTAGGTTCCTCAATAGCTATGACTTTTACCCTTCTTTTTGTCCCTAGCACTTAGCACAGTGTCTGGTACCTAGTGGATACTTAATGCTTGCTGACTGTCTAACTTTGGATAGAATTAAGCATACTGAAATTTAAGACTCAGGCTAGATCAATTTACCTTATCTCCTATATTATCCCCAAACTCCTAGGGAAATAAGTGGCTGTAAGCCCATGTGTAAACTCAGGAGGGAGTCACAACTATGAGTGCTAGAGTTCAGTGTGGAAGTACCAGGAAATCTAGGACAAGGTACTCAAGGTGAGATAAAGCCAGATACTGGCACATTTTGAGACTACAGGGAGGATGGACAAGAAAAAACAAGGCAAGAGAGAAGAAAGGAGTAGCCCCCAGTAGTCAACTAGTTATTGATATTCAAAAGGTTAATGGAGCTGTTTATCATTCTGCAGTTTGATGCCATTCAACTTGGTGGCAACTAGGTCACCCAGGGTCCTACCTTTAATGCCTAATAAGGCTCACCATCTCCAAGTACTCTGTCCCTTAATCCTTTTTTCCTCTGACCCAGAGGGAAAGCATAGCTCTCTAAGATGACCAACCTTCAGCTAGCTAACCTTAAAAATGAACATGAATGGCTGATAACAGCTTCTTTGGACCATTGGATTTGGAGCTGAAAGGAACTTACAGATCATCTAGTCCAAGGGGTCTTGAATTTTTTTTGTAATATAAAATAACTTGTCCAAGGCCACAGAACTACTAACAACCAGGATTGAAACCCAAGTCTTCTAACATGGATGGATGAATGGATGGATGGATGGATGGATGGATAGATGGATGAATGGATGGATGGACAGACAAACAGACAGATAGACAGAATAAATGTAAAATAGGCAAGAATTTTTGGCAATGAATTAAAGGTGGGGAATTGTGAAGAAAGAAGGAGATTTCAGGGTCCTCATCCTGGCAGACTGAAAGAAATGCATTACTATCAATATAAACAAGGAAGTTAGATGGAAAGACAGATTTGGGAAGGAAATGATGAATTGAACTGATAGCTCTCTGACTCTATCTCAACTATGCCCCCTTTAGAAAGCTCAATGTTGAGGTCCTATTGGTTTTATGGCAATATTGTTAACCTATTGGTTATATAAACTCTGTGTTACGAGTCCTATAGGTTATATGTGATTAAATATGGAGAGAGGCATTGTCAAATCTTCTACAGAAATCCACACTGGTCATGTAATCAAATGGTTACATAGGCCCATACCCTCTCTCTCAATACCCCTTCTCCCCTAACACAGAGATTCAGACAATTGTGTTATAATGAAAAAGCTGTGGAAAATTTTCTTCATGGCCTCTGATATTCATTCAGTGCATAGAGGTACCAGAAGGGCTTTAATTAAGTACCAGTAATTGGATAGCATCCTGATACAAGGGAAGGATAGATGTCTAAAATACAGGAAAAGATCAAAGTATGATAACATTCACCTGCATGAAATACCAGCTTTAGTTAGCTCAGGGGAAAAAAATTACAAGACTTCAAGTTGCTTCCATCTGTGAATTTTTCTAAAAGCCATTATCCTGGGGGTGGGGGAAAGGGTGGAGTGCTCAAAAGTGATTCATAAAAACCATGAGATGAAACCCCAAGGAAGCTGACACCCGAGTGTAAAGTTATATCTTTGCTCCTCCTGCCTGACTTGCCCTCCCTATCTTAGATCTATGGGGTAATGAAACAGATTCTCCCTGGACCCAAAGAGGATATTTAAAGCTTTTGCTAAACATGAGAGTCTGATTCTCTGGAGCCATTCAGGCTGCTTATTGACTGATAAAATCATCTGGGTTCTTATAACTGGGCTAAGGAATCAATATAGAGCAATGCTCAGATTCCAGTTCATGACATACAGGTCCCCAAATGGCTACTAATAATTTCAAAACTTCACAACAAGTGGCAGGTTTGTGCTTTCAGTCTGTCATTATCTCTTTATTGAGAAATCTCTTCTGTGTGAAGTATATGAGCATCAATATTCACCTTCCTTCTTCTCTTGTCTGCTATTCCAGCTGCTACCGAAGTGTCCTTCTCCTTTGATGTTGGAAATGGGCCAGTGGAGATTGTCGTTAGGTCTCCCTCCCCACTCAATGATGACCAGTGGCACCGGGTCATTGCTGAGAGAAACGTCAAGCAGGCAAGTCTGCAGGTGGACCAGTTGCCACAGCAGGTGCGAAAGGCTCCTACAGAAGGTCACACACGCCTAGAGCTTTACAGCCAGCTGTATGTGGGTAAGTAACAGGAAAGCAGTATCACTCCTATCACCCTAGTCGAAGCAAATGGCTTCAAAACTACAGGAGACAATTTCTTCTCTCATTTAGATACAGATATTTCTGTGAATTAGAGAGTCAACCCTTTGAGGTTTTCTCCCAATTCTGTGATTCTCTGATCCTTTAGGAGACAAATAGCTGTTCAGTGGGAAACACTCATGGCGTGGAATCAGGAGACCTGCATTTAGATCCATCTTTTTAATTTACTATCATTATGACTGTGGGCAAGCCCTTCTCTGTTTACATATATAAAAGCCTCAGTTTTTGTATGTGTAAAATGGGGATAATAATAACAGGCATTTATGTAGCCCCTCGAAGGATTCTTCATGTGCTTTACATGTTTAATCTCTCATGTGAGCCTCCTAACACCATAAGGTATATACTGTAGGCTTTATTATCTCCAGTTGGTGGAAAAAGAGATCAAGACCCCAAAGGCTAAAATGACTTGCCTATTACCACACAGCTAATAAGCAGCAGAAGCAGAAGTTGAACCAGAGTCTTCCTGAATCCAGCCTTCTATCCACAATCCCATGCCACCTTGTATTGTAGGCTTCGCAGAGCGGTGTGGGAAAAAAAATATGCTTGCATATATCTGAATGCTATTCAGTAAGCTGTCAATGCCAAACAAAAATGTGCCTTGCAGTAGGTGCTTTATAAATGTGTTGAATTCATTTGAACTGAAAACTATGCTTCCTCCTCTTGGAAATAAAGAGAAACATATGTGTTTACCCATCCCTCGCTAGAGTTGGTAAGTAATAAAAGGCTTTTTATTTCTCTTTACTTTATTTCATTGAATGACCAAAAAGGCTATATGTTGGATAATAAATGTAAACAAAACTGAAAAATGTGGGCACCTTAATAAATATCAAACTCCCACAGGACTAGAGTCAGCCACATAGGTTAAGCTCAGATACCGATGCTTTTGTTTGCATGGGGGAGTGTTCCCCAATTCAGAATCTCACTTAACATTTTCCAAATCAGTATAAAATGAGACCAAGTCAAAATCTATTTCCAAGTACAGTGATTATTCAAGTTTGCTTTCCAGAGTGAGCATCTTTTAGGAAATGAGTAGTTGTCTATTGAATGGAAACAATGGATGTTTGAGACACTCTGGTGAATACTTGTAGAACCATCCTGAGATTCCCAGATGTTTTGCAGCTGAAGCTTGACTGGGCTAACTGTAAAATTTTACTGTCTCAGTCCACTGCATGAAATTCTGAGATTTCATCCATGTTGTTTATCCTTCGAACAATATAGATCAGAACCCCTCCACAGCTGCCTTTCCTGAATGAATCTTGTCCATCAAATACTGCCAGATTTTAAATGGTTTCTAGTTGTAATTCTTTCCCACCCATTAACACAGAAAAGTTCCTGAGCCACTCAAACTTCAGGCCCTTTGTTGATTTTCTAAAATAAGGAAATAGAAGGTTGTGTGCTCAATGGACAAACTCCAGCACAGACAGTTCTGGCTTTACATAAGTGGACCATTCCACAGACCTCTACATAAAACAACTTTTACATGATGCAAATTTGCCCTTACCCACACACTTCACTTAGCCTATATAACAAAGGCATACACAAAATAATACCATTAGATAAGTCATAAAATGTACTAAAATGCAGATATAGTAAATACTGTACCATAATAATAAACAGAATTATGATATGAAAGGTAAAATTAACAAGAAAGTATGTAGGGTAATGTTAACATAAGTGTGTCACTTCCTTACCCACTTAATCTAGCCTTTATCACTGCTGTTTGGCTGTGCAGCATTTTTTATAAAGCCATCAAGAGATGTATTGACAGTGGCTTTCTTTTTTCATTGTATATCTGATGTTAGCAAGCAATAATATCATCGGTTAGTCTTTGAACTTTTAAAAATTTTGAAATATTTAGATCCATATTTTCAATACCAGAAAAAAATTCACTCAAATGATTAAATGCTTCTGTCAACTGCTTCATTGTGAACCTTTTTGGTTCTACCATGGCTCCTGAAGCTTCCCTTCCTTCTGCAATCTTTGCAACTAGTGACTCAATCAGATCCACATTCAACAGTTCTTCTTCCTGAGATTTAATCAACTCCTCCACATCATGCTCTTTTTGTTTTGTTTTATTTTTTTTTGAATGCAGATTTCTTTCAGAATTCTTTATGTAAAAGAACATTTGCATAATGTGAATTTATGTAAAGTAAGAACTGTCTATAGAGTCTGAGATAACAGGGGTTACAATTGCTAGTGATCTAGAACCCTTCTGATCCATGGTTACCATGTTTAAAATGGTAGCCTCTTAGACCTACAGGCCCAGGACATCAGCAGTCAACAGTCAGCTCACCTTGGGGTAACTGGCTCACACTACCCAAATTTGCATAGAACTAATGTCTAAATTAACCATTTAGGGTTTAGATTACTAGAAAGGTATCTTATGCCAGAGGGTACTCTAAATCTAGAAAGGCACCTATAGAAGGTCACATACACTTTACAGCCAGCTGTATGTGGATAAGTAACAGGAAAGTAGCATCACTCCTATCACTTAGGTGATGCAAATGGCTTCAAAACAGCAGAAGACAATTTCTTCTCTCATATGGGTGATTTAGACACAGATATTTCTGTGAATTAGAGAGTTCATCCTTTCAGGTTTTCTCCCAATTCTGTGATTCTCTGATCCTTTAGGAGACAAATAGCTATAATGGAAACAAACAAAAAGTTTCTTTCCTATTATAGGATTCTATAGCACATGGAAAAGCACGTCTTTAGGAATATTTGTTTCTTTTTTCAAAGTTTTGTCCAATGCCTTTTGGTTTTGCATCACAGTCATTTCTGAGAGAACAAAAAACCCCCTCTCTTCCCCATCCTATTTAAATCCTCCCGCTAACCAAGAAAAAAAAAATTGGTAAAACACAAGATGCTGTGGCCATGTGTAATAATGTATATAACATTCTGCCTGAATTGTCCCTCTATTTTTCTACTGAGAGTAGAGAGGAATGTTTCATTCTCTATTTTCTGGGATCATTTTTGTTTTGTTTTGTTTTACTTGCTCAGAGTTCATATTGCTTTAGGAATTTTTCCTCAAACTCTGGTGGCAAGTAAGCCAACCATCCCCAGGCATTTGTGTATATGTGTGTGTGTGTATGTGTGTGTGTGTGTGTGTGTGTGTGTTGTGTGTACATATATACATATATTTGTGCTTCCTTTGGGGGGAATAGAGATAAAACTTTGAAATTCATAGTCACTGCATATTTAAAGAGGCTTTTCCTTCAGTTCAGTCCAACAAGCATTTATTAAGTTCCTATTACATACTGGACACTAGGGATTTTAAGACAGAAGTGAAAAAAATCCCTGTTTTCAAGGAGCATATTTTCTGCTGGCTTTTGAGACCAAATGAGAAAGAGACACATGAGGAACGGGGCATAGGACCGTTACTGGATGGACTAAGCTAAAATACTCCTCAAGTATTGCACTTGGAAGGTTTTATAAAGATTGACTGGTGCCCATAGTATCTACAGCAGTGCCGCATAGCAGCAATGCTGCTATCAGAAGTCAGAAGGACCTGAGTTCAAGTTCTGATTCTGGTACATAGCACCTGAGTGACCATGGATAAGACATTTAACTTCTCTTTGCCTCAGGCAACTCTTTAAAATTTTAAATTAGAGATGAAGCCAAAGGAATCTTCCTTACATAGGGACCTACTCCCAGCCCTCATCAGACAAACAAGTAGTAAAAAGTTTATGAAATAGCCATTATATTGCTGGGAGACTGAAGATCACCTATAAATAAAAGGTCAGGTGACCTTTTCAGAAATGAGTGCCCTTGGGGACACAGTATTTATCCTTGTGCAAACAGGTTGGATGTAATTAAGCTTAGTGTAGTCACTATGATTGCTCTATTCCTTTTTTTTTTTTCATAAGCCTGAGCTCCTAGCTTTTAACTTCCTGATGGCTTAGGGTTCAATATTATGATGGCCTTTGGGCAATCCTGACTGGACATCTTCTCCTAAGAGGGCCTTCTCCAAATTTTTCTACAGCAGTAATAGCCTACAGGAGTCTGGTCCCAGGGAGAATCAGCCCCATTTGTCAAGCAGTTCCCTGAACTGTGAAATCCAGTTACACAAAAGCCAGCTGTCACAAACTACTGGACTGGGAATTAGGAGACAGAGTCCAATCCGTGCTCTACCACTGTGTGACCTACAGCAGTATACTTAACTTCTGGGTGGGAATTGAAGGCCTAAAAAAAGTCACTCCTAGGCAGCCAGTTTCTTCATCTGTAACATGAGGAGTCTGGACAGGGGTCATCTTTAAGGTCCCTATCATTCTAGACATTTTGCACTTTTAAATTAAATGAGGCAGAGGTTCATGCATCTTTTCTGCTTATACTCTTGTTCCCTTCCTTCTCTTTCTCTCTTCTTTTGTCTCTAAATTTTCATACCGATACCACCTCTCCAACATGGTGCCTCTTTTATTTGTATTTCTTGATTAGCTGACCTGAAAATGGATGGTTTTAGCCATCAGTCACTAGAGAAAGGTGCACTGTTACCAAGAATGTCCTTCAAAATCATTGTCCAGTGGTTCCACTTATGTGCCACAAGAACCATAATATCTAGCCACAAGACACTGCTACTGATAAGGTATCAGTCACTCCCTTTGAAAAAGCCCAATAAAAGAAGGAAAAAGGAATGCAAGCTACATATAATCTTAAATGCAGCAAGAAGAAATCATTACAAGGGGGATGGCTCGGGGTCATGGCAAGCAATGGGAATTCAGTTCTACAACTCTGGCTTAATAGAGGAGAAAGTAACAGAGAAATTTTAAAAAGCCACAAGGAGAAAATGGTTGCTGGTATTTATCCAGAGCTACACTCAGGACTTTTCTGTGTTCTGTCCTATAATGAGCAGCTAGCATATGACTGGGTCCCTGGATGGCCTGGCAGTAACTTGCCCATGGTCCAGGTGCTGGGGATCACATCTT